GGAACCAGCACAGACCAATTATGACTTCTGCTTTGGCAGCGGGGCTGAAAGACAGAGACTTTTACAGTGTCAGGATCATCAATAGCTCAGATTCTGACATCTGCCCATGCTGCCACTTTGCCAAAGGGTCAGGGAGGGATCCCAGCCCTGGGGCAGCTCTGGGTGCTGTGTCCAGCCCTGCATCCTCAGGGACAGCAGCTCCTGGAGCGGGGCCAGCTCAGGTGTGAGGATGAGGAGGGCCTGGAGCATCTCTGTGCCAGGAAAGGCTGAGGGAGCCGGGGCTGCTCGGGCTGGAGAGGAGCCCCAGCTGAGAGGGGCCCTCAGGCCTGGCTGTCCCTGTGTGCAGGGAGGGCAGAGCAGGGCCCAGGCTCTGCTCCGGGGCCCAGCAGTGGCACCAGAGCCACGGGCAGGGCTGAGCCCAGGAGCTGCCCCTGCACAGGAGGCACAACTTCTGCCCTGGGCAGTGCCAGCCCTGCCCAGGCTGCCCAGGGAGGGGCTGGAGTCTCCCTCAGCGGGGATCCTGCCCAGCCTCTGCACACAATGCTGTGCCCTGGGCTCTGGGATGGCCCTGCCTCGGCAGGGAGGTGGCACAGGCACCTCTGGGCTCCCTCCCTGCCTGGCCCAGCCCGGCATTCCGGGATTCTGTGACATTCTCCCCAGGCCTGGAGCCAGCTGAGGTGTCAGGGGGGTTGCAGATCATTACAAGCCACAAACATCCCCGGGGCAGCCAGGCCGGGTGACTCCTCCTCATCAGCAGCAGCTTCAGGGCAGCTCCTTGCTCTGAAGAACCAGCAGCTTTCTGTGCTTAACCCCTGGAGGACCTTCTCTCTTCCCAAGTTAATCCCTTCCCAGCTCTCTAGGCTGCTTTGCCACCGTGGATTTATGAGGCAGCAGAAATAAAAGAACACTCTGCATAGGTTCTTGTTTCATTTGCAGCTCTGGGGGTGCCAGCCCCTTCCTCCCTTTGCTCCTGCAGTGGAGCCTCCAGGAGAAACCTTTCCAAAATCAGCAGGGGCCTCCTGCCAACTCCCAGTGAAGCATCAGCAGCTCCTGAGGGTTTATTAATCCCCTTTGAAACAGTGCCTGAGGCTCCCAGAGCACTTGGGCAGGTCTCAGACTGAAGTCCAGGCTTTGGCTGGAGCCAGGAGCGACCCAGAGTCAGTCAGTTCTGGGCACAAGAGGATTTAAAGGGTGAAACCTGCATCAAACTGGGCAACATCTATACATTACTTTCTTGAAAATCTGCTCTCAAGGATCCCCAAGGCTCCCGACATGATTTAACTCTAGTTAAGGCCAGCCTCCAGCAGACATGGATTTCTGGCAGTCTCTGGGTGACCGTGGAACACAAGGTTTGCATTGTCTAGGCAGCCTCTCACCTCCTTCCATTCAAGTGGGGGCTTAAAATAATGCCCTGGGAGTGGCTTTTAGCTCAAAAGGCTAAAACATATCCTGAAGGAGGGGAAAAAAAAGTGTAAAAACATCAAAGAAGACAAGAACAGAGCGTGATGTGGATGAACCTGCTCTAAAGGCCACCCGAGCCCAGCAAAAACACCTGGATGACCACAACAGATGCCCACGATCAGGATGACCCATCCCTGCAGGTCCATGTCTGGATCCTGCCACCCCCAGCCTGACACACCGTGCTGGTGTCTCTCCCACAAGCATTTCCCTCAATAACCATGCAATTTCACTCATATGCTGCGTTTTTACAACTTCAGACTTCTTCAGACTGCTTTTAATTTATCAGACTAATTCCAACTGCAATACCCTGCCAGTGTTGGAGAATGGGCTTGACAAACATCCCTTGCTCTAAATAGAAGAATCTATTAGATTCTAGCAGCTTGAAGTAGTAAATTTAGGTTTTATCTCCACCAGATCCATATTGGTCTCTTCCTGCTCCAGAAATCCTGCTGGGTTCCTTTTGTTTAAAGGTGACTGGCAAAGGGAAAGCAGAAATGTGAGCTCTGCCTTCTGTGCCTGGGCTCTTTCCACTCTACAGAGTCAAGGAGGTAGGAAAGGTTATTGCTGACAATAAAAATAGAATTATTTTCCTGCCTTTTCCTCAGAAAATCAGCTCTAGTTTGGAGCAGGAAAATCTCAGCTGGTTGGAGATGGACAGGCAGGGCAAGACGGAGCAAAAGACCTGATGGGACCTTTAAAGTCAGCCCTTTGTGCCCACCTGGGGATGGTCCCTGGTGGAGCTATCAAGCAGCCTGGGGAAGGGAAAGGGTTCTGGGGCTGCTCAGAACCTGTCCCACAGAGTCCAGCCTGTCCCTGGGGAACACTGGTGACTCTGCCCCACTTGCTCAGAGCCTGCTGCTCAATCAGGATTCAAATTCACCCTTCCCACCTGCATCAGCCTCAGTGGCCACCTCCAACATCAGCCCAGATGGGGAGGGACAAGCTTGGCACACCTCACCATTCCTGGGTGAAGAAAAGGGGGGGAAATGCAATGAGGCCTTTTCATCCCCACAAAGAGGAGTTCAAACTCAATTATCTCCCTTTAGAAAAGAAACCCTGGTGCAGATCACCTTTAAGGTGAGTGATAGATTCCAGGTGAGCCATTCCCTGTCCATGCCTGCCAGTCCTCCCAACGCTGGGCTCAGGAGTGACTGAAACCCTGCACTCCGAGCTCCACTGCAGAGCACAAAACAGTTTTGCCAATCTAAAAAACATCCCCTCACCTCCCTTCTTAATCTCAGTGCTCCCAGAATGAAATAGAAAAGCCAAACCTGGGCACCCAGCCCTTCCCCTCGCGGCGCGCCGCTCCTCCCGTGCTCAGGCATCCAGCGGGACGCGGCTCTGGGCTCGGGCAGCCCAGCAGGCTCGGCAGGGAGGTGGGAGCTGCCACCGAAGCTCCATCCTCCCACTGGGATCAGCTCCCAGCAGCTCTCCCTGGATCCCAGGCTCTGCTGTGTCTCCAGGCTGCTCTTGGGAGCACTGGAGATACGAAGGGCTGGGCCCGGGAATGATCCGTCCGTGCCAGGACGCATTCCCTGAGAGTCAGCAAAACTTTTCAGCCCTTCAATTCATTCTATTATTTCTGCTGATGGCACTATAAATAATTACTCCCCACCCTCCGTGTGCTTGAGCTGCTTTGCTGAAAAAAGATGCACATTTTGTTCATCTTTCAACACGCTGCTTGTGTTTTTTGGTGGCTTGCAAACCGTGCTCGGTGTTCTCCAGGTCTGCAGGATGGAGGCAACAGGTTCCAGGGGCCTCACCCGAGAAGAGCTTGCCTGCAATCCTGCTCAGACCATGGGAACGGGGCTTTTTAACTTTCAGGCACTTTCAGGTTTCCTTGCCAGGTCAATTTTCTTCCCTTGGAGCTGGGAACAATGGAGCCATTATCCCACCTCTCGGTCACAGCTCCTTCCTAATGTCGCCAAAGTCACAGATGGCTAAAGCACTACCAAGGGGTGGGAGCTGCTGGAGAAAGCAGGGAAAACCAATAATCCCAAAGCCCTGGGGTGCCCAGCATCCCTCTGCCTGCACTGCCCCTCACTCCATGAGTTCAGCACGGAGCTGTGCCGTGGATTTCCCTGTGTCCTGGCACCTCTGCTTTTCCTTGCGGGCTCTGTGCCCCCTCATCTCCAAGTCTCACTCTTTCACTGCCCAAGGCAAAATGTTTTGCTGCCCACAAACCACCTGATCCCTGCAGGTGCTGCTGCTCAGACGCTCATTCTCTGACCCACGGCTCTGCTCTCTCTGCTCACTTCCAAGTTCTCTGTCCCGTCTCTCCCTCGTTGATGGCAAATACCATAGGTGAGGAGAAAACCCCCATTTTCCTGACCCAGCTGTGCAGCCCCACGGTCCTGTGGACTTTGGGCCATGCTGAGCTCAGAGGATCCCCTCCCCAAGACCTCCATCCTGGGAGATGAAGGCGAAGCAGAGTTTTTCCCGGTGGATTAAGAAAAGCGGTTTTTTTGCTGTGCTAACGCCACAACACACAGAACATAAACAGCTCCTCTCCTGATTTCCTGAGAGGTGGCCACCATCGAGCACTTCTCAAGGAGATTAGTGGCTGCTTTTCCAATCCTATTTCAAGCCTCGAGGAGGCTGCTATTTGTCAAAAGTGTTATTAACCTCCAATAGGCACCAGGATAAATGTTTGCTGGCACAGCCTCTCTCCTGCATGGATCGCGGAGGGAGAGATGCTCCCAGGGACCCAGCCTCACCTGGGACCCGGCTGCAAAGACTCCAACAGGCTCTCATTACAGTCAGGGCACCTTAAAGATGCACCCACCTGAAACGGGGATGGAGGAACGACAATCCATAATTTAAGGAAAAAGCCACGTTGCGTGGAAGAATAAACAGATAATCACTCTGTTAAGGAGGAGAGGGGGAGAGGAAAATCACTGACTGAGTGGGGCAGTTCACAGTTAAATGTTCTCTGGGCACAGAGCTCCTGCTGAAGGGCGATTTATCAGCCCAGCTAAGGCTGGGGTGAGTGACAGTGCTGGGGAGAGGAGACTCCGGCGTGCAAACGACGCTGTCGTTCCCAATAACCCGGGATTCGCTCCGCGAGGCTCTCCAGAACTGCTCTGCATTGCGAGTGCAATGCGCATGGAAGGATGTGGCAAAACTCCCCTAACCTGGGAGGGACGGGGGGACGGAGAGGAGCCGAGCGGCGGCAGCGCGCCGGGGACCAACTTCTGCCCTCATTTATGGGCCAGGCATCCCAACTTATCTTCTGCTGAACGGCAGCTCCGGGGTTTAAGCAGCCAGGGAAAAACGCCACAACTCTGGGTCATGCGCTCAATTATTTAAAAGGGAAGGAAGGGAGAGGGAAGGGAGCGGCGGTGGCAGGACAGGCAGCCCCGGGCCCCAGGTGCGCGGTGGGAGGGCTCCTCCTGCCACCGGCCCCGCGTCAGCCGCAGCCACGCGTTCGAGTTTCTCCCCGGCAAAGGCAAACACATGGGAAAAGCAGGGGGATGCTCCCGGCCGGCAGCCGGGAGCGGGGAGAAGCCGTGCCCGCAGCCCCGTCCCTCCGCGCGTACCTCCAGCCGCCGGTGCCCGGCGAGCCGCGCTGCCCGTCCATGCCGTGCCGGAGACGGAGCCCGAGGTGTCCTGGGGAAGCGCGGGCGGCTGCCGTGACTTGGGAATACAGAATATGGTACAAGCTTTAATTAAAAGAGTCTGAAGGCTCTCTCCTGCTCGCTCGTCCTTTTTTTCGCAGTACCGGATCGGATTTAAAGGGCTAGAACCCCAATTTGGCACTGCTGCTGCCCCCGGAGCGCCGCGCTGCCGCCCGGGCCTGCCAGCGCCAGCATCCTCCTGCCGCCCGTCGGGGGCATCCTGGCAGCCCGCGGGGCCGGATCCGGCAGCACCGGGAGCTGCGCCGGCAGCAGCAGCGAGCTGGAAATCAACGCTCCCTCCAGCAGGCACGGCCGTGGCGAGAGGGGATCCCGCAGGCACCGGGATGGGCGAGGGCAGCCCGAGCGCTCCTGAGGGTGCGCGGAGCAAAGTTCGTGTTCTACCAGCGCTCCAGAGAAGTGGGAGGAGGAGGATCGTGTCCCTCTGTCCCACCACCCTGTGCCAGTGCCCAAATGCCCTCCCCGTGCCAGACCTGGGTGGAGCGGGGTTGTTGGGAAGGGCTGCGTCACCCAGGGTGGTGGGGAAGGGGAAGGGCTGCGTCACCCCAGCCCATCTCTGCAAGATGGGGTCCTCAGGCTCCTGCCTGCATCCTGTGAGCAGGAAAGCAATTCCATTTGGATTTGGAGGCCACTTGCTGGTGCCAAGGCAGTGGGGAGACAGCCTGGCACCGGCAGCGTGCGAGTGACGCTGGTCCCTCCTTCAGCTCCAGATCCAGTTGCTCTCCAGTCCTCCATGAAAACACTCATCTGCAACAGGCTGGGCTCTCAGTGGCCCTCAGGCTGCTCAGCAGGTCAGGGATGGCCAAGACATGGTGCCAGCCTCCCATCCAGCTTTCCCAAAAACAAGGAAAGAGGGGACAAAGAGCAGGGTTTCCATGGAGCCCTCCCTGGTGCAGATTTTGAGCTCAAATAAGGGAAAACAATGGAAACAAGGAGCACATCTTTCTTCTTCTTCTTCTTCTTCTTCTTCTTCTTCTTCTTCTTCTTCTTCTTCTTCTTCTTCTTCTTCTTCTTCTTCTACTTCTTCTACTTCTTCTACTTCTTCTACTTCTTCTACTTCATCTCCTTTTGCCCGGTTTGAGCCCAGAGTGCTGCCCTCCCTCCCCGAGGCCAGCTCGGAACAGCCCACTTTGGTTGTCGGACCGGCGCGTGCCGTGCTCTCCGGGCTGACCCGGGTGTTCTGGCTCCCTCTCACCTCTTTAATTACAGCCAGGGGTGGGTGCCAGCAGGGAAAGCTGGTTTTCTGTCCATGCTGCAACCCAGCTCCGAGCTGCTAGGATAATTAGCAGATTATTAATGAATGAGAAGATTCCCACCATGGAGGGAGGAAGGATGGGGAGGGAGGGGAAGCATCACTGGGCCTGGTTGGGAAAATCACACTGGAGTCAGAGACTCTGTCCCTCAATCCAAGGCTTTGAGCTGCCTTCAGCGCCAGGGAAGTCGCTCACAGCCCTGGGGCTGCTGGATGGATCCACAGAGCAAAATCCAACGGTTCTGCTTGGCCGGGGGCCACGCTGGGAGCAGAACGGCTCCGTCTCCCAGGCACAGCCCGCGGACTTCCATCTGCCTCTGGGGATGGAGAGGAGGCGGCCTTGGAGCCTCCTTCTCCATCAGCCCGGGTGATGTTGACTCGGGGCTGGGGGGTTTCTGAAGCATCACCATCTTCCAGGTCCCTGCTGGGAGCTGGAGGGTGTCACCCCAAACACATCTCCTTGGACCCCTCATAAACTGTGGGAACAGCACAGTCTTCAAAATCAATCTGATACCAAGTGAGGGGACCGATTCCCTGGGTTCAGGCACCAGCTGAAAATTCCTGGGAAAGGCATCACCTGGCAGAGCCTGGTGGAAAAGTGCTTCTCTAAATACTGAGGGGCAGCAGGCAGGAGTGAGATTCAAGCAAAACCAGGGTGTCCTCAGAGGCTCCAGCCTGAGCTGCTCGTGTGTCTCTCCAAGGCATGTGGTTGTTGTTCCTTTAATTATTAATCCTTGCATTGACGTAATCAAATGTGCCCAAGCCTTTAACGAATGCCTCAATGTAAAAAATGAAGAATAAATTTCTTTCCCTCCCTGAAAACTTGTTTCAATCCCATGACCAATTTTATTGCCGTTCTGCTCTAATTTTAAATATAACGAGAAACATTAAGGTTTTCAATTAAAAGATCCCTTCCTTCAGATATTGGAACATAGCCTGAAGTGCAGACCACGTGTGATATTTTTCATTGGGATGGTGTGGGCTAAATCTGATTCCCAGATCAAACACAGTCAGGCTCAGCCTTGCAGTTGGCCAGGCTGGAGAGTCTGAGCTGTTCCACTTTGGGAAGAGCCTCAGCCTTGTTTGTGTTTTTAGCTGACTCCTCGTGTTTCTGAAATGAACCTTGCATTTATTCCTTCTCTTTTTGTCAGCGTGGGAGTCTGTGGTGAGGGGCAAATGAGCTTCATGATGCCACCATGGACTCGTGGAATTTTTGGCTTTTGACTGATGCATTTGGTTTTTCGCTTTTCTTTAGAATGAGCTGACCCATGGCCACAACAGAGGAGATGTTCCTTGTGCAGTGAGCTCAAACCCCTCATTTGCCACAGTGTTGGCTCATTGGACACCATTAATGTGAAATTTGGGTCATGGAAAGTTTTTTCATGTGTTCTTTTCCACAGATCCTAAATCTTACACTTGTTCTCCACCTTAAATCTTGCAGGTGGCCCCACCTGGGCCTGTCTCCTCAGGCCAGGTCTCTGGGAGGGTTTGCAGCTGGGCAGATGTTCAGCCCCAGCAGCAGCCAGTGTTTGCAGGAGCGAGGTGCCAGCTGGGCTTGCTGGGGTCAGCATCGCTCCCTCAGCCTTGCAGGAGCTCATTTCACTCCTGGTAGCTTTTGGTTTCCTAATGGAAGTGGCACCACTGAATTTACTGTCCCTGAGCCTGCTCAAGGACTGTTTCTCATGGAAACATCAGCTTTGTGCAGATGAGATGGAAAGAGAAAGGCACTTCAGCTGAGAGGAGCTGGAGCAGTCTGGATCAGCCCCTGGCTCCACCTGCCTTGCCAGAGCCCCCAGACTCTGCTGGTCCTGCAGGAGGCACCTCTTGCTCACAGCAGCTCAGCCACCCTCCCCCAGGGTGCCCTCGGAGGGGTGGGAAGGGCCCTGGGCCAGGGACATCACCCCCAAACCAGGCAGTGGAACAGCACAAACCCATCCCTCAGGGGCAGAGCTGGGCAGGATCTTGTCCAAACACCACATCACGTTCCTGCTCCATTCCTTTTCCAGCTCAGCCAGGCTGCTTGGAAAGCCAGGAATGGCTGGGCTCACAGGAGAGCTGAATTTTCCACTCTTGAGCCAAAAAGTGTTAACTTTGTCCTCCCTGAACCCAAGAATGTTAATGTCTGCCAGTCCCGAGCCCAGCAGTGTTAACTTTGTCCTTCCTGAGCCCAGCAGTGTTAACTTTGCCATTCCTGAGCCCAGCAGTGTTAACTTTGCCATTCCTGAGCCCAGCAGTGTTAACTTTGCCATTCCTGAGCCCAGCAGTGTTAACTTTTGTTGCTCCTGCAGGTTTTGATGTGTCAGGATGCATCTTGTCTCACTCCATCAGGTTTTTTTGGAGGCTACATCACCTGACTTGCTTTGGTTTTATTGGTTTGATTTGGTTTATTTGGTTTTGTTCACTCCCTCTGAGTGAATAAAGGAATTCCTGATTCCCAGGGGGTTTCTCTGAGAACCCTGCTGTGCTGCATGCAGCAGCACCCCGGGGAGCTGCTCTGGGCAGACAATGGCCTCTTCCTCTTCAAGTGCAAAACGGTGTCAGGCGAAGGAAATTGCCAGCTGAATTCACAACCAATCACCCAAATTACAGCCCTTTAATAAAGATAAAAAGGAGAGAGGATAGAACACACTGCAAACCTATGGGCAGGGGGTTGGTCTCCTGAATCCAAAGGCAAAACTTTGAAACCCACGTGGGCTTGTACAGGGGGATTGTTTTGGAGAACTTCGAAACAAACAAAAAACTGGTTAAACACAGGGAAGCTGATAATCACAAATTATTTTTTTCCCTAAAATTTGTGACTTAAACTGCATTCCTGCTGCATGGATGTGACTTTTCCCCATCAAAGGCTTCTGCCTTCCTTGATCCTGCCCGGCCCAGGACAGGCTTCAACGTGATCTTGACCCTGCTCAATGCCAGGTTGTCCTCTAAGGAGAGAACCCCCTTCAAAAGCTGAAAATCTGGCAAAAAAAGCCCCACCCAGCTTCACCTGTGTTTGAAAGGCAGAAATCAGCATCAAATTAATCTCTACCAGGTCTGCTGTAAGGGGATATGATAATGGCAAATAAAAAGCAGTATCTGGGTTCCAGCTATGGAAAAAAGAGGATTTTTTTTTTTTTGTTTCCACAGTTGGTGGGTGATATTTTGTGGAAGACACACTGAGCTGGATGCTGGGGGACTTTCCATGGACAAATGATGGGAATCCCCACTTCCACTGGCAAGCAGCTTGGAAAGAAAATGTGAAGGAGACAAAGCATCCCATTTCAGGACATAAATCAGCCTCTAACTGACAGTGGGAACAGAAGAGCCTTTATTGATGGGCTGGGTTAGGTTCTCCAAATGTGAAAGAATTAAGGAGCTGTGAGCTGACAGCTTTAACAACTGCTGCTCCTCCTGGCTGCTCCCAGCTGCAGCCTCAGGAGCAGCCAAGGTCAGGAGCCAGAGCCCCAGTCCTGAGCTGCCCATCCTGCTCCCTCCTGCCCAACTCAGACTCCATTTCATCCCAGGGATCTGCTCTTTGACAGGCTTCAGCACAAGCCCAAAGTAAAATCTCTGAGAGGAAGAGACAAATTCAGCTCTGCCATGTGCAGAGAAAACATCACTGCCCGGCCCAAATGTGGGGCTTCAATCCCTAAAAAATCACAGATCCAGCGAGGCTGGGAAAAGCCACAGCCAGGGGGATTTCAAACCTTCTGGGCACGGGGACTCACCCCTGTGCCAGGGCTGGACAATCCTTTTCCCAAGGAAAGTTTTCCTGCCAGGCTGGTGGGGGCTGAGGGAAGGGGCTGAGAGTGCT